ATTTGTCTGGAATGCGATACAGACAAAGATAAACATTACTGATAACAACCAAGAGGCTCGAACCAGGAAGGCTGGATATTTTAAACTTCGTAAATAACATTATTTTCAAGCGTAGACTTTATTCGAGTGTAATAATTACGCAACAACAATTCGTATACAGCATTGGTTTTATTGAAGTTTTAATGCTTTTCGGCTTCAGTGAATTATTTTAGCGTCATATTTGAAATAGCGCGCTCCATACAAGATGTCGGACGGGAAAATTGGGGTCTGTAAAAATGTTTGTTGGTTCAGTCAGGCAATGTGTGGACCAAAACATCGCCCACTATTTGAAACATCGCCCATGGGCGGGGTTTAGGATGGGCGGGGTATCAGCCCCGAATCCGGTAACACTTTAATCATTACTGGATTATGTACAAGTATCCATTCGTACTTCTGTAAGGGGATTTAAACCTCTCACTGCTATGTATAACCTAAATTGCACAGCATATTTGTATGTACCAAGTTTGAACAAAATCCATCCATGCCAGAAATGCTTGAAGATTTTTTAGCACAAAAATGGCCACCTTTAGGCCATTTTTAATAGGATTGTCAAACCAATATATCTGTATATCTATGACATGATGAATATTTAAAAATTGAACATAATCAGTCACAGCAAGTCAGAGATATTAGCCGTAAAACCATATTTATTAAAATCTTATCTGAAAAACAAAATGATGTGCATCAAGGTCCTATAATGTCCAATGTATATACCAAATTTGAACAAAATCCATCTGTAAACAGCTGAGAAATGCTTAATTTTGATGATTTTTCAGTACATAAATGGCTTTCATTCGGCCATCTTGAATATGATCGTGAAACAAATTGATGTGCATATGTATAATGTCATGTATGTGCGAAGTTTGTTTGTGATTGGTCCAGACATTTCTAAGATACAGGTCCGGATGCACGCACGCACACACGGAGGTCAAAACACAAGTCCCGGTTTTCAACTAAAAAACAGGAACCTGACAAGTGCCGAATTAATATGTACAGAAATAATGCTTTACTAACCATGAGATAATCAAAGTCACAAACTCCTTGCATACTTCCTGGTTGTATTTGTAGATTAAGGAAAGTAAGACGCACACACTGGCCTGTAGAGCTATTGCTGTTACAGTACAATCTATGTTGTTATCATAATTCAAACCTGCTAGATAGCCTGTGATGAGACTATCTTTTCTGAAGTGACACTTCATCACACCTGAAAT